TTAAAATATTTCCCTTTGTGACTATTTTTCCTGTGCATTATTTCAGCATCATTGACATTTATTTAATGTGTTTTTAAATTGATCAATGTTTCTTCATGGAACAGATTTCCTGAGAATTTCTCATTATTAATGTATCAGATTAGGCATTTTATATTCTTTTAAATACTAATAGTTATATTTTATTATGTTTTGATTCATGTGAAAATTTGAATCTTTAATATTTTAAACATGTTTTATTTTATTATAAAAATAAGAATGTTTTTTCTTTGGATTTCTGTCTTTAAGGAGCTATTTATTTTATTCTCTTCCTCTTCTATTTAAAATCTTTCCATGGTAATATCTTAATGGGTAGGAACTAATTGTATAGATACTGCCTTTTAATGGCATTTTGCATATTTACTTGTGTGATTTGCATGTCATTAAAAGTGGTATGCTGGGATACCCCTCTTCAAAAGTAGACAGATGACAGTCACATAATCGTGACAACCCTGTGTCTTATGATCCAAACAAGACATTAGTCTTGATCCTAGTATCATTACCACTCCTTTCTATTGCATATAACTTTCAGAGTCCTGGAAGGGATACTGCTCATATTTTATTTTGGCAGTCTAGACAGAAATCTGGAAATGACATTGCTTCTTTCAAGCATTCTTTTTTCAGAATAAACTTTTTTAAAAATGCTTTATTGAGATATAATTTACCATATAATTCATTACTTAAAGTGTACAATTCAGTGGTTTTTAGTATATTCAGAATTGTACAATCATTACCATAATCAATTTTAAGACATTTTTATCAATTTCCAACATTTCCACCAAAATACTCATAGTAGTTACTCCCTTTCCCCCTCACCCTCCCTAGCCCATCACTGATCTACTTTCTCTCTGTATAGATATACTTATTCTAGATATTTTAGAATCCACTTTTTAAAAGACTTTTTTTAGAGGCAGTGCCAATTTTTTATTTTTATATAACAAAAATTAATAGAAATAAACCATTAAAAACAATAAAATTAAAATTAAATGAAACTGATTTGTTAAGTCTCTAAACATTAAAACATTTAAGTGTTATTTTCCAAAAGTCTGCCACTGCCATCTTGGGGCTTGTCTGCGCCAATGAATTAAAAGACTCTTTTTAAGCTGGAAAAGGGAATAAGAGCAAGGCTTAGATGGATAGCAGGGAGCAAGGTTAGAAAAATAGCAGCAGCTCCAGATCTGCTTTCTGAATTCATAGGGAGGTATAATTAGACAAGTGTTGTCACCTCTTTTAGCAGCTCTAGATTTTGGTGATGGAACCAAGTGGTAAGTTGAAATGACTGGGCCAAGGCTACATCTTAGCTGCTTGCCTAGCCAGGTACCAGGTTAACACTGTCTCTGAATTAAAATACGTCTTAGTACTAGTAATAGTAGCAGCAATAGCAGCAGCAGTTGCAATAGTAGTAAGCGTTTAATGAGTACTTAAACAATGTGCCAGTCAATGTTCTAAGCGGTTTACATGTATTAATGTATGCATTTAACCCAGACAACATCCCTGAGGTTGGTGCTATTGATCTCTCTTATTTTCTAAATAAGGAAAGCTGAGATACAGATTCATTACAGATATTTCTTTTCTTTTTTTTTTTTTTTAATGTAGTTTAAAATATTGAAACTACCCACGAAGTTAAACTTGTTTATATGTAGGGTTAATATTTTTTAATGACTTTGCAAAGATTCATTTTGGGGTCCTAGATTACTGCTGTTTTTTCCCCTTTCAGTGAAACTGCTTTTGGTTACAAGGGTCTGAAGATCCTGTTATACTATATTGCTGGTAGCCTGTCAACAATGTTCCGTGTTGAATATGCATCGAAAGTTGATGAGAACTTTGACTGTGTAGAGGTAAGAAGAGAAATTTATTTTAGACTGTTTTCCAACGGAGTTTAAAACAAGTTTTAAAATGTGAAGGTTCGAGAGAGAGAATCTGTTATATAGTAGCTTTAAACCCCATATTCAGTCTTTAGTTATGGAAATTATTGTCTGTCATTTCAGTTAACCTGATGATTTTGTTCTTTAGCTGATCTGTTTGGACCTTCTTCCTAGTGGACCTTGTTTTTTATTATGCACATGAAAATTACTTCTTTTTCTAGAAGTTAAATAAGATGGCAGGAACTAGATAAATTTTCTACTTTTACTTTGTGTAGAATTTGCCTGTTTAAATTTCTCTTGCTGCATTTCTGATCCCACAAACTTTGATGATATATTCCTTTATGAACATGGGTAATTAAGCTGATTACATTATAAAACTATTTGAAACAAATGGACCGAAAGAGTGATGAAGGCAAAGAGAGGCATTGAAGAGTATGCATCTGTGGCAGGCTGAATTGTGGCTCCCACCAAAAGGCAGTATGACCTCAAAGGCAGAGTGATGTGGCCAAAGCCAAGAAATGCTGGGAGCTACCAGAAATTGAAGAGACAAGGTACAGATACTCTTCTAGAGCCTCTGGAAGGAGTGTGGCCCTGTTAGTACTTTGATTTCAGTTCAGTGATATTGATTTTAGACTTTGCCACTAGACCGAGAGAGATAAGCCTCTAAGTTTGTGATAACTTGTTATGGCAGCCACAGGAAACTAATACAGATTTTTGTACCAGGAAGTGGTACTGTCACAAATAACAAAAACTGTAGAACTATCTTTAGAAATGAGTAGTGGGTAGAGACTGGAAGAATTTTGAGGCACATGATAGAAGAAGCATAGATTGCCTTGAACAGACCGTTGGTAGAAATATGGACGTTAAAGGTGCTGCTGGTGAGGGCTCAGATCAAAGGTAAGAACATGGGAGAGAAAGCGTACATCATCTTAGAGAATACCTATATCATTGTAAACAATGTTGGTAGAAATAAGAATATTAAAGGTTCCTCTGGTGAGAGCTCAGAAGGAAATGAGGAACATGTTATTGGAAACTGGAAGAAAGGAGATCTTTATTATATAATGCCAGAAAGCCTAGCTGAATTGTCTGCACTTATGTGGAAAGGAGAACTTGTAAGCAACAAACATATATTTAGCTGAGATTGCCAAGCAGAGTATTAAAGCTATAGCCTGGTTTCTTGCTGCTTATGGTAACATGTGAGAGGAAAGAGATAAATTGAGAGAAGAATTGTTAAGCAAAAAAGATCTAGGACTTGATTATTTGGGAGAATATCAGCCTATCCAGATTGCAGAAGACCCTAAAATTAGGAGATTCATTGTCAGGAAAGTATGCTTTGGAGAGAAAGCCAAGACTGTGGCTAACCTTTTGTTGTTGCTGAAGAGATTAGGCATGTGGCTTATGGATCTCCTCGGTTATCTCAGCAAAAGCCAGGAATAGAGATTGAATAGAGATGAGGGGAGATCTGTGGAGGACCATCTCGTCTAATGGTGTAAACCCTTATGGCATACACAGGTGTCCTACAGGGTTTTGAGGTTGTTATATCAGCAGAAACACTCCCAGTTTGGGCTGACAGTATGAGGGAAGGCTGGCGAACTTTCAAAATTCTATAGGCAGGAAACAGGCTGATGACACTACTGAGCTGCAAACTTTTGCTACCCTTCAAGAAAAAGGAAGAATGACTCTGATGGTGGAGCTTTAGGCACAGAGGGTGAGGCCACAGGCTGGTATTCCTAGGCTTTGAAATCTAATGGAATTTGACCTGCTGGACTTTGAAATTGCATGACACCAGTGACGCCTGGCTTCCTACTATTTTGTCCCTTTTGAAATGGAAAAGTATAACTTTTATCCTATGTCTGTCTCACCACTATTTTTAGAAGCCATAACTTATTTTATAGTTTCACAGGTGAAAAGGAATTCTGTGATGTATCATACTCAGAATTTCACCCATACCTGATTTAGATAACTTAGATGATGAGATTTTAGACTTGAGTTGTTGCTGGAATGGTTGAAACTTTTGGGGATGTTGGCATAGAGTGGGTCTATTTTGCATGTTTGGGATGGACATGAATCTTTGAGAGACCTTAAGAAAATTATAAGTTTTAAGCTTGTTCTGTTTCTTGGTATTTCTATTTAAAGGCATTAAAACTTTTCATCAAGATTTACTTCACAGAGTTGATATTTTAAAATTAAAGATAATTTTTGTCACCAAATCACGTTTATAAAAAATGAAAAATTGTAAATTACATTCTTGTAGTAAAAGCTCTTGTCCTTTAGACCTATGAATCCAGCAAGTTTTATCAGATCAGATTTGTCATGTCATTGATAATATTGTGCTACATACTGGGCAGAGCATTAAAATGTAAAAATGAAGACCTTATGTTTTACTACATATTGGATGTCATAACTTTCTTCCATAGAAGTAGCAGTTCCTAAAGCAACAACGAAGCCAACTTTCCCAAGGCTTTAAACTTCAGACTTAAATCTTGGGCCAACCTCATGCCCCATCCTCTTTTTGGTAAAACCTCCTCTCATTCATTACTTGGATTCATTGATGCAGCCCTTATTATTTTTCTTTGGTTTTGTTTTATGGTAAAGGACTTTTACTTGTGTGCCCAAGGTCACACAACTAATAAATAATCAAGATTGTACTAGGAGATAATTACTTAGTGGTAGTAGGCATTCTATATAGTAATATTCTATTTAAAAATTTTAGGACTGTTTATGACCTATTCTAAATGGGCCCAGGCTCTTGTGCTTATTAGTTTTTATTTCTATTTTTACAATGTATATTTTATTTATTTTTTCCCACTCTCATACTTTTATGCTATTAGATCTCAATTTACACTGTAGTGAGGGGCTTCCCTCTTGCAAACAATCTCCTTATGGGTGAAAATACCGTGTTGGTAAGCCTAATGGAATTGTAACATGAATTGGATATAGAATGAAAGAAGTCCAAAATAGTCTCATATCCGTTATCAACTTTAATGTCAGAAATATTTTGAGCACTTACCCTTTTTTTTTGTTCCCACTTCCTAGCCCTGTTTGAGATGATTAAACTTGTCAGATAAATAATATGTAACTATATTTAATACACTATTTTATTCAGTGGTTTGTGTCCCTTGGACATTTTTAAAATTTTGCAGATTTAGAAGTGTTTTTAAGTAATGCTATAGTTGCGATGATTTGATGTTTGAAAAGATGTGATCTTAGCAAACTAGTATTTAGTACAGACTAATTAAAATGGAATTTTTTCATAATCAAATATTTCTTATTGTTAAATTTTCAAGCCCAGCTAGATACTCTTACTGAACATGCAGGTAATATTTTTCCTTGTGTTGTACAAAATTCACTGTCGTTTGAAGGTTTTGGTTATTTTTTTTTTTTTAAGTTCCAGCTGATAGTGCTGAATTGATTTCTTCCAAAGGAACTATTGACTTAGTTATTGATAAATCTTTCAAATGCTCTGTGCAGTAAAAATAGCTATGTATTTGCATTGATTTCTAATTGTTCCATTCTTGAAAGCCAGGTTTTTCCATTTAGAAGTACTGTGCTGAGAGTTAGAAATCAATCTTTTATAATGTCTTTTTGTAGGATTATTTATTTGCTTCATGGTCAAAGATCATTTATTTAAATTACATGTTCAAGCAAAGACTTTTTTCCCCTTTATGTAAAAAGAATGGGTAGTGGATGTGGGGAGAATGGCTTCCTACTCAGTTGGCAGTGAGAATGTTCATTTCACAGTGCCTTCTTTTTTCTTGATGCTGGGGATATGGTGGCAAACAGAGTTGCTACTTTCAGGGAGCTTATATTCTAGCCAAGAAGAACAGTCAGTAAACAAATAATATGTAAACAAATGAAATTCACATAGTGTTATGAAGAAACATTTTGTTGGTTTTTGAATGAAAAGGAGCAGCCAAGTAACAATCTGAAGGAAGAGTTTAGTCAGCAAAGGGACCAGCATACGCAAAGGCCCTGAAATGAGAACTATTGGCATTTTTGTAGTCCAGGAAGATCACCATTGTTAAATCATGGTGGTAATGGAAAGAAAAGTAGGAAATGATTGAAGAGGTTGGCAAAACTAGATCATGCAGGGTAAGAATTAGTTGATAGCCTTTAGAGGTTTTAAGTAGGTGGGGGTCATATGATATCATTTGTATTTTTAAGGTGATTTTGGCTGCTATGCAAAGAACACACTGCAGAGGGCCAGAGTGAAAGAAAGGAATCTACAACATTGCAGTGTTAAAGGCAACATTGCTCTAGTTGTCTGACTAAGGGTATATTTTGGAGGTAGAGCCAGTAGGATTTGCTGTTGAATTAAATACGGTGCGTGAGGGAAAGAAGAACACGGAGGAACCCATTGCTTAAACTCCATTCCTATTAAGTGAAACAGGAAAGATGGGAGTAGAAGTAGGGGACGAAAATCAAGATTTTTGTTCAGATGTATTAGGTTTGAGACTATTACATATCATATTTGAGATTTTGCAGACTATCATGTAGCATTTTTGCACATGAAAAATACACCCTTTTAAATGGTCAGAAACCACAGCAAATCTAAGAAGTTTGCGTATTAGAATTTTGCCATTACATTACTCTTTCATTGTTTATTCTTTTTTCCAGGCTGAGTTCTCCAATTGCACCTAAAATTTTTTTAGTCATACTTAATATGCTTGTATTTCCACTTGTCATCATCTTTAAAGGCATCATAATTATTCTGAATTTTACAATACAATAAACTTGATTATTCTGACACTGATAGTTTGTTCATCTATGGTTGTCCCCAGCCTTTGCTTTTATCAGTGCCCTCTGCCCTCTCTTGAGGTAATTTCATTGCTTTTTAGTAACTAAGATCGTTCAGTCTTGCTAATTGCTAGTGTTTCTGGGAAAGATTTGATAGAGGAAGTTGAAATACATGGGTAGGGTTTGTATTATCTGTGAATTTCAACCATCTATTTTATCCTTGTCTCCCATTAATATAGATTGAATTTGAGAGTAAGTGAGAGCAGTTTTAATTTTTTTTCTGTATTCCTTTAGCCTCTTATAGAAAAATCCTGTGCACTTATAAAAATTTAATCTTAAGGAAATGAAAAAGTAAACTTTGATATTTCACTGTACTCTGATAATTGAGTGTTCTTTGAGTAATGCTTTTTATGAAACATAGAATCTCAATATATAATTTTAAAGCTTTCATGGTATTTCATTAATTATATATAGAAATTTTCTAAATTATATATTGAGATTTTAAATTGTGTGTTCAGATTTTTATCTTGAAATTCTGTTTGTGAGTTCACACAGCGAAAAACTAATGTAATATAAACATAATTAAGCTTTTTTTCCCCAGTAGTGGAAAAGTTTAGTATTAATTTCTCTAACAATAATAAGATTTCTACAGTTTAAATATAGTCAGAGAATTTTAAATTGAGCAAATTAAGTAGATAAGGATTTTTTGTTTTATAGCATTTCTTAGGTATTCTTAGAATAGCTCATGTTAAGTCTCTGCCACTTAAGCCAAGTAAAGGACAGTGGTACCACCTACTTAACATGCCTTTAAAATTGCTATTTCAAAAATAACTCACCATAGACAAATGGTGCTATTGAGGTTAAGACACTTAAGAGGTACAGCAAGACCTCGAATAATGTCGTTTCGTTCAACATTGTTGTAATGTTGATGATATTCTGTAGGGGCTTAATTCTTATTTATCTCAATTAGCCTGTGGTAAAATTGGTTTCTTTATACATCAGTTTGCCTAAAGTCACAGAACCTATCAATGATGTTAAGTGAAGATTTACAGTAATTTTGTTTTCAAATGTATATAAATACAAATTTAAGTGTAAACATGTTATAGCAAACTGCCAGTTATTCTCAGGCACATTGCTTTATGCAGTGATGAGGAACAGCAAAAATTGCTTCATGGAAACATCACATGTGTAAAAAGGTATAGAGCATTGGAAGTTGAAATGACTATAGTAAGAGAGTATGCAATCTAAAACGTTTCATCATGACTCATCTAACATGAGAGCTAAATAAAATACTTTTATACTTTCCTTTAAAAAAAATTGCATGTCTGTTAATGAAATATATCAGGTTTTATTCTGGACTCTTGGTCTTTGCAGCTTAATTTCTTATACTTTCTATATTTTTTCATAATTTGACGTTTCGAATAATATTCAAGATAGGGAATCTTTCAGTGACCTTCAGAAATGCAACCTAAACATTTAGCCAGAATCATTGGAACTAAAAGTTTCAGTTAATCTTTAATTCTACATTCAAGTAAAAATGGTTAGATAGGGTTTTTCTCTAGTGATCATTTTATTATCTGGCCTGTAATCCAGTATGAAAGATGAATATTTAACTGAACTAAAATATATTTATTATTTTAGAAGAGAGTACAGATCTCTAAGACATGATTATAGATTTTTTTTTTCCTAAAGCAGGATCCATTTAATAGAGAAATGAAAACATTTTTCCTTTTAAGTTCTGAATTCTAGGTTTGAAGAGCTATTTGGTTTTATGTTATGTATTTTATGTACTACATTTTCTCTCACCTATTATAAATAACAGATTCCTTTGTTTTTAAACTTAGCCTTTTATTCTTCTGTAAAAGTTCTTAAAGTATTCTATAAACTTGCCCAGATCAAAATATTTATTTGAAGATATTTATTAAAATAAATAGGTATCCTTCGAAGGCTGACAGTTAAACATTAACTCTTTTTCAACTTTGTCAAGCTCAAACCTGAGTTGCTCTGTCTTCCACCAGAACTGCTACTTGAAACTTAGGCGTTTCTAAGAAATCTTTGAGGTGCATTTGATGCAAGATAGGTAAAGTTATTTAATAATGCTTTGGTAATGCCTTGTTGAGAAGACAGGATATTGGGACATTTTTTAAGAGTTAAAATTATATACACTGTAAATTCCTGGAAGTGTTTTTCTTTTAAACAATAGATTATAAACCTCTTTAAGTAGTGTTTCTTGATTTTTTTTTAACTCGAAATAAAATTATACTTTACCTACCCATCACTACTCTGGATTTTAATTGCCACACAACAGACCTATTAAAACAATCCGTTATTAGTACAATTTCCTCTTGTAATTATTGAAAATTGTACATACTCTGTAAAATATGCTTAAGGATGGTCTCTTGGACATTAGCAGTTTCAAGGAGAAATATTTATCAAATAGTGCTTTAAAAATAAGCAAATATAGTCCTATCAAATGCAATTTATTTGATCTTTAGTGTGAATGGATTGCAAGGACTGATAGACATATTAGAAATAAGCTGTTGGGCAAAATTAAGAGCTATATTTTAAATAGCTCTTTTTTATAGCTATAAACAAGTTATATATAAATGATGGTGGTAGTAAAGCACTGAAAATAAAACTTGTGATAAATGCCATTCTTGGTTCTCTGTCCTAAAATGTAACTGAATGATAATAAAGTGCTATTCATCTGCAGGTGCATTGCTTCTACTTAGTTAAAAGATGGTTGAAAAGACAGGAATTAGTAGCATGTTGTATTAGCCTTTTGTAGTGTATTTTGTCCTAAGCATCTTAATTTCCCTGTTTTGAATGCTAAGTAGCAAGGGTCTTGGTTTAGAACTAATACCCATCATGCATGTAAACGGTATGAAAGAGCTGCTTAGTAAGTTAACACAAAGTGTTCTTGTGTCAGTCCTTGTGGAAATAGATACAATACAAACATTACAGCTGAACTCACGGCAAACTCCATTAAGTAAAAACCTGGCCTCATTGTTCAGGAAAAAGTTTGAATAGAATGCAAGCTCATTTTGTTGAATGTAATGTCAGGCTTTTAGGGGCTGTATTGAAGGATAAGGTTTTGTTAAGCTGAGACCAATTCATTAAGTTTTATTGCCTGGTGAGAAGCAGTAATACTTTATTGTAAGACTTCATCAAATATTCATGGTTAAAGAGAAGTAGTAAATGTATTCAATCAAGTGGTCTTTTGGGTTTTGAAAAGGATTATGAAGTCTGCTCAGCTGATAGTTTTAACATTCATTGAGGTGGTTTAACAAGGGTAATTTTAATCTCTGAGTTTAATTTTGTTGTCCAGGCTTGTCTCTTTTTACTGTCACATATCCAAGTCTGTAAAATTGTCAGTTGTAGGGATGAGTGGATAATACATCTATTCATATATTTATGTATTTCCTAAATGGGTATATATTTTTTAAATTATTATCTTAATTTCAAGTTTGTTGTATGTGAGGGAGTTATGACCTATCTACTTGTTCATTGTGAGGTTGCTGTTTCTCTGGTCAGGCTCTAGCCTCACCTCACTACTGCTGGTGATTTTTTCATGTCTTGGATAATATGGTCTCCTTGACACATACTAAACAATAAGCAGCCTTTTGTTTTGGCCAGTTTAGATTGTTCTGAAGGAACATAGTCAGCATTTTCTATATGTTAGAAATTTCAATAGCATCGCTCTTATTCTTGCACGTGATTTCAGGCTACCTGCCGCCTCTTTTTTATTTCTATATTATGTTTATGCTCATTTCAGATTTGTGTGGCAGTATCTTGTGTACATGAAACTCATCCTTTCCCAGTTCACTACATGTTTACTTCTTTAGTTTAACTGTGAACTGAAGTTTTGTGATTTTATGGGTTTTGTCTATTTCAAAGAAATTAAGCTTATTCAACTAAAAGTCAAATTTGTTACTAATTTTTTCTTACGTCCTTTAACTTCCATTCCTTAGGCAGATGATGTCGAGGGCAAAATTAGACAAATCATTCCACCTGGATTTTGCACAAACACAAATGATTTTCTTTCTTTGCTGGAAAAAGAAGTTGATTTCAAGCCATTTGGAACATTACTTCATACATACTCTGTTCTAAGTCCAACAGGAGGAGAAAATTTTACCTTTCAGATTTACAAGGTAAAATTAAATCTAAATAGTTTTTGGGTAAAAATACTCCATATACCTGAAACTTGTGTACTATTTTTTTATTTTCAGTGATTTATTCTAACTTCAGGACACATATTTTTGTCAGCATTAAAAACAAAGAACTATTTTGTATGTGTATCTATGTACACATCTTAATCTGAGACTTCTAAACGTTTTCCCACAGGATTGTTTTGTGTTGTGCACTTTCACTTCTGTGATGAGTTTCACCTGACTTTTCCTGGCTTTTTCCCTAGGCTGACATGACATGTAGAGGCTTTCGAGAATATCATGAAAGGCTTCAGACCTTTTTGATGTGGTTTATTGAAACTGCTAGCTTTATTGACGTGGATGATGAAAGATGGCACTACTTTCTAGTGTAAGTACAGTTCTAAAGCAACAGTAGACCTTATTACCTCCACAAAGCCAGCATTTTAATTGTGGCAGCCCAATTATTGGGACAGTATAATGATATTTTTTCCAGGAAAGAAAACTATTGTTTATGAGGCTTGAGTTTTCCTTCATTATGCTTTGGGGAGACCTTGAGAATAGAGCCGAATTAAATGCTGTTGTCCGTTAGGGCCCTGAATGTAGGCTTAAACAGTAAAATGAGCTTTGCCTGTGTTTTCTTTTACTTGCAACCTATTCATCTTTATAATAGGCAAGTGCACTGAAGTGATGTAAAGAGGTCTGATTTATCCAAGTTGCTGCACACCAATTAAGTGAATTGTACATTCAGAACATAGCAGGTGTACCCATTGGGCCCTCACAGAGTAGCTTGCTGACACTGAAAATTCAGTCGGAGAATGGAAAAGAAAATGGACACTGCATGGGAGCGCGACTGTAATTGACCTGCTTGGCTTTCTGTTTTATCTGCAGATTTGAGAAGTATAATAAGGATGGAGCTACGCTCTTTGCGACCGTAGGCTACATGACAGTCTATAATTACTATGTGTACCCAGACAAAACCCGGCCACGTGTAAGGTAATTGGCAGTATAACACGTGCCTTGTCTTTTATTTCAGAAGAAGGAACTGCTGAAGTTTCCAATACTTGTTATAATAGTGTTGATTTGTTTAAAAAATCACCATTATTCATGGGCTATGTACTGATTTATTTCATTGTTCCCATAGAAACTGAGGAAGATTAAGCCAGTTTTGAGCATCTCGATAATTTTGGGATTTCTTGATGGTTGATTGAAAAAAAGTCACAGAGACTTTAAAATGTTCATAATACTTTAGTGATTTGCAATTTTTAAACTGCTCGTGTTATGATATTTTAATTTTAAAATCATTTTTTTTATTATAGTCAGATGCTGATATTGACTCCATTTCAAGGTCAAGGCCATGGTGCTCAACTTCTTGAAACAGTTCATAGATACTACATTGCATCTCCTTCTGTTCTTGATATTACAGGTATGTACATTTCAATTTATTACTGAAAGAGCCTTTTGAAAAAATATTTACTAATTGATTTTGTTTTTTGTCGGAGGTAACTTCTCTTTTAAATAGCAGCATCATCCTGGGGTCTTTCTGGAACTGTCTAAAGATGGCTTAAGGCTACATTTTAAATCATAAGTTTTTGTGGGATTGGATTGCATCTCTAAATATGAAGTGCTTATTAATTGGACAAATTGGAGATTATGAATTGAATATGTATTGGGAACTCTTGGTCAGGTATGAATATGCTGCAAGTATGGTATGACTGATTTGTTTAATTTATTTAGTAAACAGTTGCATTGCTTAGAGACCATGCTCTAATTTTCATGTAGGGGCAGAATATTCTAAACCCTGCTGAGGAAAAAAAGCCAAGGTAAGTAGTTCCTGAGTAGAAAACACATTTCTTCAAGCACGTGTTTTATATTCCTAAAATGTGTGCCTTCATGACAGTAGCTTATAAGGTGAAATGTAGGCTTATTTGATTTGAAAACATTTTTCAGTATGAATTAGTCATAGAAGTGGTATTATGAGGATGCTTAGAAGAAGGAAAGAGATTCTACTCTTTAAACAGAGTAGTCATCATTAGATGGAGTTACAGATGATGGTATGTAAATGTGTGAACTACCAAAGAACCAAATTGGCCCAAGGAACATTTATGTTGTCAGTATTTTCTTTCCCTGGAGTAACACTGTTTCAAATTTATTACTCATGAAATTGCTGATTAAACTGAAAGTCACCTTATTTTTTCCAAGAAAACTACTATGCCAGATATTTATATCCAGATTAGGTACTCAGTTTTATTCTGTGAGTTTAAATACATCTTTGTTTTTAAAACTGCAATATTTGACCCCTACAAAAATATTAGCTTATTAAAAAATGCTATTTTGGAATTTTATATTATCAATTTGCTTAAAGACATCAAAAAATATTCTAGATGTGAGAATAAAGAAAATAGGCTAGAAGGCAGATGATTAGTTTTTTTCTTTTTCATGTAATGTAGTCGTTTTGCTTGTCCAGTCTAAATAAAATTAAAGTTATGCCAAAACAGATTTTGAATTGATCCTGTAGATTAATAAATTAGAGGAAAAGCATGTTGTTTTTAAAAGAGAATTCCATGTTTATAGAGTTGAATTATCTTTCCATCTGACTTTCCTGCTACTGTGAAATGGTTTAGAAGTTTGGGAGATGAAGAAGTCATTACTAAAGTTAGTTTACATCAAGTTATAAATTATTTCTAACACCTTCACTAGCTTAGTGACTTGTAAAATTATAGAAGCATAATACAAATAACATTTTTTTTTAGCTAAGCTGAAAATCATTTAGCGTCTGTTTACTTATAGAGCTTGGACTTGGTGCTACATGAAGGGACTTTTTTTTTTTTTTTGGTAATTTTAATCTGGAGACTTAGAGTTCACATAAGTAGTCTTTGTCTTCTCTAGTGGGTAATGTGCCAGCAGGGGTTGTTTCTGTGAAGCCTCTTAACCACTTTCTTCTGTCTGTTCAACCAATAAAGTCCTTGATACTTAGCACCAATTAGCAGATAAAGAATTTTATTTCTTGAATCTCAGTGAAGAGTCATCAATAATGGTAGCCTTTATTCATTACAAACTGAAGTCTCTAAAGGGAAAAGGCTAAACATGCTAAAGGATTTCTGAATTTGAAAACTGGGGTATCAGCATTTACTTTTATCGTTAACATTTCTCAGCATTATAAATTACTAAAAATGCCTTATCAGCTCTTCTCATTAAGATATTTCTTGTAGATTTTCATACTCAGTTTTTTTTTTTTTTAAACAAGGAATTTACTGCTTTTTATTTATTTTAGTTGCCTGTTTCTCCATTATTTTGTATACTTTTCTTAACTTTATGGCTCTTTAGTAGGCTCTGGATCTCCCTTTGCAATTCAGGGTATTCTTTATATTGAGATATCCTTTTGCTTACTTGACATAGAGCCAGATATAATGATAATTAAAACCATCGATGGCCTGTTTACAGGATAGATAGGTGTTTGTGGTGTAATTGCCACCCATATTTTCCTTTTTTTAGCACTTAATTTTAAAGTAAAATACTGGAAGACTATTTTTTATATCATATACCATCTTCCTTTTGAAGATGTCAGTTAAGATAGATAACATTTGCCTACATCTCAGCCGTGTGACTTTATAAATAGAATCAATGGTTTGTTTCTTCCAGAATTATGAAGAGAGTTGCATTTGGCAGTAGAAATGTTTCCATATCTTTTGGGTACATACCTAGGAGTAGAAATTGTGGAAAACCTGTGACTGTATTTAACCTTTTGAGGAACCACCACACTAAAAAGTGTACTATTTTAAATTTTTATCAGCAGTGTAGAGGGTTTCAGTTTCTCCTCACTATCGTCAATACTTCTTGTTGCCTTTTTTATCATAGTCTCCTAGTGGTATTTCACCGTGATTTTGATTTGCATTTCACTGTGGCTAGTGATGTTAAAGTGTCTTTTCATATGCTTATTGTCCATTTATATATGTTCTTGAGAAATGTCTCTTTAGATCCTTTACCCATTTTTAAAACTGACTTGTCTTTTTCTTACTGAGTTTTAAAAGTTTTTATATAAAAAGTCTAGGTACAAGTCTCTTATATGTATGACTTACAAATATTTTCACCCATTCTGTAGGTTGTCTTTTCCTTTTCTTAATAGTATCACTTGAAGAACAAAAGTTTTAAATTTTTATATAGTCTAGTTTATCAGTTTTTTATTTTGTTGCTTATGCTTTTGGTTCTATTATCTAAGAAACCATTGCCTAACCAGAAATCACGAAGATTTACTTCTATGTTTTCTTCTAAGAGTTCTATAGTTTTAGCTCTTAAAATGTATGTCTGTGATCCATTTTGAGTTAGTTTTTGTGTATGGTGTGAGGAAATGTGGGCCAACTTCATTCTTTAACCTATGGCGATCCCTTTGTCCAAGTACCATTGGTTAAAAGACTATTCTTTCCCTCATTGATTTGTCTAGGCACCCTTCTCAGAAATTAACTCACCTGAAGTATGGGTTTATTTTTAACTCAGTTCAATCGCATTGATCTACGATAGCTATCCTTATGGCAGTACCACACCATCTTGATTACTGTAGCTTCATAGTATTTTTCGAAATCAGGAAATGTGCGTTCTGTAATATTCATTTTTTTTTTAAGATTGTATTGGTTCTTCATGGTTCCTTGCATACCCATATGAATTTTAGGATGAGCTTGTTAATTTTTGCAACAAAAAAAGTCAGCTAGGATTTTGATAGGAATTACATTGAATGCTTTGTAGGTTATTGATATTGTAACAATATTAAGTCTTCTGATCCATAAACTAGCTCAGACTTTAACATTCTTTGTTTCAAGCCCTTTACTGATAAAATGAAGGCTTAGAGAAAGGTGACTTGCCCAAAGTCCTACATCTATGAATGACAGAACTACATCTCAAACTCATGTTCTCTGATTGTACAATATTTTCTACCCATCATGTTCTGATGTTTTCCTCGTCTGCTAGTCTAATTGTAGGTAACATAGACAAACATAAAGGAAGATTTATGCTATAGAGATGTAAATGAAGGATCAAAATCATATTCTCTAAAAAAGATTTGCTTTTGTAAAAAGAAGAATTTTTTTTTAATTATGCGAAGTATAGCGGACTATAAAGGTTACTGGATTAAAGTAGGGTAATTATAAATTGAGCTTTGGGACCCTTAGCTATCAGAAAATACTGCATTTGGAAATGATTATCCAAATTTGAATATCTTGTTTATATAGCTAGTTTAATTGAAAGTAAAATGAAGATGTATATGGTAACAAAAAGTTTACATTTGAAACTTTTAATTTCACAAATAACACATATGTCTTTGCAAAAGGATTGTACTTATAATTTTATTTGGCACAGATAATAGTACTATTATTTGAATTGTAAGGAATAATCCTTTCACATTGTAACTTTATATATATATAATTGTTTTAAGAATGTTTACCTTGCTAGTTTAGCATGTATATTGAGATTGCAAATGGTCAAGAAATTGTGTTAGGAAAGGGAAATGTTATTCTGCTTTATTTCTTTAGCGGAAGATCCATCCAAAAGCTATGTGAAATTGAGAGACTTTGTGCTTGTGAAACTTTGTCAAGATTTGCCCTGTTTTTGCCGGGAAAAGTTAATGCAAGGATTCAACGAAGATATGGCAATAGAAGCACAACAAAAATTCAAAATAAATAAGGTATTTTTATTCTATAGAAGGAAACCATTTAAATTTTCAAGTTTTTTTTTTTTTTTAAGTATGTAACTTAAAACATTGCAGATACATTAAGAATACATGTGTGGGGAAGTAGAAGTTGTTAAGAGCACAGACTCTCAAGCCAGATTGCCTGGGTTCAAAGCTGATTTCACCACTTGCTCTGTGACTAAGGGCAATTTAGTTTACCTGCTTGGCCTCAATTTCCTCATTAATAGAATGGGAAGACAATTGATTTAATGGCTATAATAAGTGTAACAAGCAGAACAAAGATGGATAGTAGGGACTTATTTTTGCTTTTTTAAAAAATGTTTAAACTAGTAAAGTAGTTAATGCCCTTGGAGACAGTATTAATGGGGAGAAGGGTTGGAATACAACACTTTTCACTTTATATACTTTTACATATTTATTTGAAATTTAAAGTAGCAAATAAGAAGGGTACAGAAAAAAGCATGAGAACTGAGAGGAGGGAATTTATGTAAGCAAGTGAATCAGTATTTCATGAGAGACGTGTTTGAGCGAAACCTTGAATGGGTTGGATTTAGATGATGAAAGTATGTGGAATGAAGGTATTCCAATAATAAGCACTAACATTTGATACTATTGACCTCCCCTCTCTTAGGTTCTAAAGCACTACAGTTCCTGGTTTTCTGCTTACCACTGTGATCATCTTTTTGGAGATACTTTCATTGGCGTCTGCTCTTCTGTATACTCCTCAAATATAGTTCTTTCCCAGAGTTCTTTATTTAACCCTCATTTCTTCTTCTATTTATTCTGCCTGGGAGAGCTCATCTAAATCTCCTATCCAGATTTTCCTCCCAAACTCCAAAACTATACCAAAAGTTTCCTGATCACTGACTTTCAGCAAACAACATAATTTAAACTGAAACTTTGCATTTTCCCTGCATTAAAACACTATAATGGCTCCCTGGCTTTAAGATACATTTTAGAAATAGTTGATATCTCTAGACTATGTTAAACCTTTATTTATTAATGAGAATTTATTTACTCAGCTTTTAAAAGAGAATATGAACACATTTTTTTAAATCATGCTATTTTTTATTTCCTTAAAGAAATGAAAGCTCCTTAGTATGGCACACAGAGTCCATCATAATCATGACCTTGCCCACCTTTTTAGCCTCAGCTATCTCCTCTTTCCTACATGTTCTGGCTTTACTGCACCTCTTGCCATTTCCCAGCTATGCTACATTTATCTTCCTTTTATGTCCCTTTACCTCTGTGCTGTTCCCTCTCCCTTGGCCACCCCTTTTTCCTATTTCTCCATCTTTGCCTGGCCAGATAGTACTCCTTTTTTCAGGCTCAGCTCAGGTGTCCTTTCCATATAGTTCAAATACCATCTTCCCAGCTTACCTGTACGTGAGTCCCCTTCCCACTCCCCCAATAAATAAATAAGTGAAACAACACAAACAAAAACTATGGGCTGCTCCTTTGGCTTTAGTGATACCAAAACTTCCTGATTCTCCTAATATTTCTTTGGCTGTTTTTCTCTGTCCACTCTTTAACTGTCACTGTACTACAGGGTTCTGACCTCTTCCCTCTTTTCATTGTGTATGCTTTCCCAGGGTGATCTTTACCAGTCTTATGGTTTTAACTCTTGCTTACATACTGATATTGCGTAAATACTCACCCTTAGACTAGAATTTTCTTTAGACTTATATGTTCTGCTGCCTCCTAAATCTCTCTTAGGCTGTGAAAACTCAGTGTCATTCCATACCCTCCTCTACAGCCAATCTTTCCTCTTCAATATGTCCAGAATCCTTATTCCTTTAGTATTATTTGTGCTATCTCAGTTCATGCCATCATCATTTTTTGCCATTTAATAGCTTAACTTCCTTATTGGTCTCCCTACCCTTCTTTTTGCTACTTTTTCTGTGTAGCTGAGAGAATGCTTTACTTAAAACTCAAATTTGTGCATTTTGCTCATTCCCCCATTTCTGTCACCTACTAGATAAAAAGCCCAGCTCTTTAACCCACTATGTAAGGCTCTGTGCTTTTGCTCCAGCCTCACTCTGCTTCTACACCTTGCTTTTCATTTTGTGCTCCAGCAATGTCAGGCTACTTCTGTTCTGCATGTGTGTGTATGTATGCAAGTACACACACACATGCACACACTTTTCTCCCTTCTTTCTGGAATGGCATGCTCTCTTTCCTTTAAGATTCCGTTCAGGATTTCCCCAGGAGTCCTCTATTATTTCTCCCATTTCTAGGTTATGCTAACATAATACCCTATGCATATTTCATTAAAGTAAACATATCAGTCATTGGTGTTACTTACTGGACTGCTAGCTCCTTGAGGGCAGAGACAACTTTTTATTGCCTTTCATCTGGTACCTAGCACAATTTCTGGACCATGGCAGATATTCAGTATCTCCTGTATCCTTTTAGGAAAGTGTCACTATTTTGTAATTTGAAAATGTTCATATATTTCTTTTGTTTTTCTTATTAGCAACATGCTAGACGGGTTTATGAAATTCTTCGACTACTGGTAACTGACATGAGTGATGCTGAACAATACAGAAGCTATAGACTGGATATTAAAAGAAGATTAATTAGCCCGTATAAGGTAGGACTTCCAATAGTCTTAAACATTTTATTTTTGTCACTGTTTAAAATAGAAAAGCCTAGCAAATGCCAATGTCTGAGAGAATCCAAATCATTTTGCTAAATTTACTTTATAAAACTGAAAATATTCTTCCAGTTATAAGAATTCTCACTGTCATGATTTTCCAATGTAAGCTATACATCTGTTTTCATTCAGTTAAAAACTAATCCCAAGGATAGTCCACCCACAGTTATTTTTTCTTTGATTTATTTGCAACTTTTAAAAATCTGAATGCCCATACTCTTTCCTAACAAATTATCTTGTTTTTTTCTAAGTCTCTTATCTTCCCATTTGTCAGATACATTGTTTGCCTTTGTATTTTACCATAGCTGAACTTGCTACTTAGTATTATTTACCTTTTTTTTTTTAACATTCTTTCTTCTTGCCCCACCCTCCTTTTCCATCTCCCATATTTTCCTCTGACTCAAATTTTACTTGCGCTCCTAGATCAGGTTTGGCCTCATCATCATTTGGCTATTATTAAGGTAGATATTGTCCCTCCCAACCTGTGTTGAGTGAAGATTTGCTATGATACTTGTTGCTGGGCAGTAAGCTGATTAGGGAGAATATTTGTTAATTTATTTAACAAATAAGTATTGAGCACCTGACATATGGTTGCTGCATTTATGTACACCATACCATTAAACCTACTATAACACTAGCTGGGAACATAAATGATGACAAATCCAAAAATGTCTTAGTATTTAAGAAAAAAGTAAATTAAATAACTAATGAGTAATATATAAAGTACACATAGTTCTGATTTTCCTACATTAATTCAAGTTTTATTTGTCATAGATCGTGCTTTATGGAGCTAGTCTTCTAAACGTTGATCGTATATTGGGTCACATTATTCTGTGTTGAATCCCAGTTCTTTCCCCTTATAGCATCTTGGTACTTTGCAGTACAACCATATTTTATAATTTGTCATTGTAATTCTGTTGAAATATATCACATTCTGAACCTGTGTAGTTCTTCAGTGTCATTTCATTAAGCAGTTTAGTGGGTTGATTTTCTGTCTTATTACCAATCTGCATATAACAGGTGATGATAAATTGTAATGGTCTCTCTTCCCCAAAATTGTCTGAAGTAGCATTTTATTCTTTGATGTTTGTCAATTCTGAAAAATCAGAAAATGAGTAGAGAAATGGTATTTTCCAAAAGTTTTGATCTTTAATCATTTGTTAGCTAGAAATTTTCTTTATGATGAAATTTGGGCATATAGAACAGTATAATTAGATGTTATGACAACATTTAAAATACTAAAACTTTTTAGTACAGTAAAATAATTTAATTATGCATTTCAGATATTGGTGACATTTTATATAGGCAGACTTGCAAATGAGAGATGATGAATTCTGAGTATAAATAGTCACAAAGTTATGCCACATAATGAGAATTTCTGCAGTTCATAAAAGCAAGTATTTTCTACTCTAAAGAATGATCATGATTTTTTATATTATCATTAAGTATCTTCACCTGTCCAGCAAGTTCACCTGTCTGAATGACAACTGAAAACTGGTTATTAAACTTGTTAGGTTCTTAACAACCAAAGTGGGTATTACCATCTTGCAGTAAAGCTCATACACAAATTACAAATTCTTCAGATTGTTCAAACCCTAATTATTATAGTAATGCACATTTTAATAAGTTATCCAGTATTCTGTCCCATTGAGAAAACCAAGAAAGCTTGAGGGTCCCCCTCCCCTCTCTTTGGTTTGATAGCCACAATTCTTGGCATAGGAAACCTACCACACACACTTTGGGAAAACCTAGAAATGAATTAAATGTTCTGTAGGCATGGGAGGTGTGATAAGATTTCCCTGTTGAATGAATGCAGATGATTTTCTCCAATTTGTCATTCCAAACATATTCATGTACTTTGTTGGGTTATCACAGCATTCTCAAATGCAAAATTATATTTAAGAATAAAGTAAAATTGCCAAATATTGAGTGTGGTTTAAAAATTTTTTAGGTCTTTAAAACATATACCTAATGGGGAAAGTTTAGAGTATAAAATTTACATTTTTAACATTTTATGGGAAGAAATTATAATTTTGATTGTCACTAAGTTATTACTGAGGTATGAAATTATTTATTGATAGTGAAGTCCACCAATTCTGTCCTGCCTTTATTTGAGGGATCAAGTTTACATATCAGCTTAAACATACTCTCCCATTAAAAAATTATTTGGGTAGATATTAGAAGTACTTGTTCCTTACTTTAAAAGTTCTCTTAACATTGATAATTCATTTGTGTCAGTGCCAAAAAGAGATAAAAATAATGTGTAGTAACTAGAATCATTTTTTAAAAGCACAAAAAGAAACTCCATCTCTAGTACAGAAGTAATTTTCATGCATTTGAGAAAAGATTAATTTGAACAGTTTGGCTAAAAAAAGTTGGCACATCTGCTTGGTTTTAGCATTAAACCTTTTGTATTGTTTCACAGGCATATTTAATCCATAATTGGTTTACAAACATAAAATTTAGAATCACTGTTATACTATTGGGTTTGGAATCAAGAAACTCAGTTTTGAGGTCTTGTTTGACAAACTGTGTGACTGTCGGCTTCTATAAAATGGAAATGCCTCCATAGTGAGGAACTGAGCAGAAATAAATACAGTATAGAGTGCATGTTTTTAAAGGTGGCTTTTGAGAAGTCTTTGGAATTCAGTGTCTCCGCAGCATTTTTATTTTAAAATTCTTACAAAAGAACCTTATC